CAATTCAGCTCCTATTGCCTTATTCGAGAGTCGTCTGTTTTTTTACTTTGATTTGGGATTTGTTAGAATTAAATTTAAAAAATGTTTTTGAAGGTATTCCTGAATGTAAATCAAATTTTGATTGTGTTGTTGGAGGTGTTTGTATTAAAGATCGAGCAGGATTGGGCCGTTGTTATTGTTCCAGTTCTTGTTCTTATAGTTCGTTTTATTTTATTTTTATTTCCACCAGAATTTAGCTGTTCCCGAGTTGTTTATTTTAATCAATAAATTAATTTACGCCCAAGTTTTGCTGCGAAGAATGTCCAATAATTTTTTTTATTTTAAAGATGTCCCAGTCCAATGTGTTGAACACAATCCTTATAGTTGTGTTTCGAGAGGAGAATCATCTCAACTGCCAAGAAATGAAATGAGAAATCCTTTTTGTTTTCATGTATTTTTTTGAAATTTTTTTAAAAAAAAATTTTTTCCTTTAAAGAGGAGATGTATATGCCCGCCAGAATTTAATAATACAAATATGGTTACTAAAACAACGTCTAATTCAAAAATGAAACTTTTAATGAAATGTGATAAACGTTAGTTTGGATTTTTAAAAAGAAAATTTTTTTTATTTTAATGTTTTTTCCCTGATTTTTCCTTCGATTTCCTTAAAATTTCTGTTATGTTCTCAAAATTTATCTGGAATTATTCCTTTGTGTATTTAAATTTTTTCAACAATCTTGTTTGGCTTTTGGTTAGGTGGTTTCGTCTTTGAATACAAAAATAACGGCCTTGGTTCGAATCCCGATGGATCCTATAATTTTCATTTTTCTTCAAACATTTTATTTTTCAATCTCTAAAAAGTTTTTTTTAAATAAAAATATTTTTTAGGTCAATTAAATGCAGTAATATCAGCATCTCCATCAGAATCCATTTATAAAGGAACTTCTGCTCAAATTTCTTGTTGTGTTAATGTAGACCCTCGTGGATTTATTCCCGCCGAGGGAGTCTATTTTGTGCAAAATGGAACTAGAAGGCGTGAACCTACGGATAATCCTTATGATAAATTTTCGAGTGATATTGACACTCTTTTTGCGGTTTTTTTTAATTTTATTTTATTTCGGGATTTTTTAATAGGGTTAGCTCGGAAAGAGATTAGAACAATTAGAGAAACAAAGTTTTTTAGTTACTCCATGGAAGCTAAACAATTCCTCCATTAAGTAGAAGTAAGAGGATAGACGGCTTTAAAAATGAAAAATTTTGACTTTTTGGTCTTCCAAAATTCGAAATTTTCGTTTCCGGTGTTAAAAGAATAAATTCGTTCGACTCTTCTTCCTAAATCCGGACCCCTTAAGTGATAGTAATGAAAAAAACTGGTTAGGCAGATACAATATTTGTTCCCTCCTAATTAACATAGACGTCTAGTTAGTTTATTACACTCTTCTTTTTCCCCAAATATTTCAAATTAATGTAAGCAAATATATTTTTAAGGTCCCAACATGTTGGGTATTAAATATAGAAACAACTCAATTAAGTGATGCTGGAGTGTATCAATGTATTGTTCAACCAGTAAATACTCGATACAGAACAGTTAATATTACTATGGAATTTTTTGTTAAAAGTTTGTTTTTTAAATTTTTAAAGGTTTTGGACTATGGGATCTGGGGAATGGGGGTTTTCCTCTTTATCTATTTTCCAAATTTTTTCTTAATCTAACATACTAAGAGGCTTCTTTGACTATTTTTTTAAATGCAAAAACCAAAAAATATTCTTATGTTAACAGGGGAAACTAACGGAAAAAGAACAATTCGGATTAGCGAAAACGAACCTCAAGATTGTATGTATTTTTAATTTTAGGAAAAAGTTTTGTGTGTTAGTTTTTGTTGTTTTTTAAATGTTTTGTTATTTTTTAATTTTTTTCTTAAATTTTAAGTATAAAAATTATTTTCTTTTATTTTTAGCCCCTCGTATGATTCAAAATATCAAAATTTTTCCAAATGAGACATTCGCTACCATTTCTTGGGACTCTCAAGATGAACAAGCTTATGTCATTGATATGGAGTATGTTTATTTTTTCTATTTTTTAATTGTTTCAAATAAGTTTTCTGAAATTTTTTTTAGAAATTCCCATTTTTTATTATCATATATTTTTGCCTGAAATTTGTAAGGAAGAAGGGAGATGCCGCTTGTCTAGCGTTTAAAGCGCTTACTATGTAAGCGAGAGTTTTAGGGTCTTTAAAGGAAATGGCTTAAGCAGCTCCCCCGGTTACTCATTGTCAGTCGACAGTGCACCTTATTTTTGTGGAGCGAAAACACCTAGCATTAACTGTCAGTAAGTCGCAGGATCGATGCCTGCCAGAGCCTAGATTCACTCGGATAAATCTTGCGGTCTGCTAAAGTTCTTTTTTATTTTCTAGACTAATGAAACGTTCTGATAGACGTGTTAGAACAGGATGGAAAACAAATGTTAAATCACCAGTTACATTTTCTCAACTTTCTCCTGGCACTCCATATACTTTATTTATTCGTGTAGCAGAACCACAAAATGAGTTTTCTTTTACAATTCAAATATCAACAGCAGATGGACTTCCAGACCCTCCCGTTTTGGAAGAAATAAGATTAGTTAATGTTGGGGATGAAAATAATGCTAATATAATGAATAAATTTTGTGAAGTTGAATGGAAACCGCCAAAAACTTCAAAAGGACAAATAACTCGATATTATGTATATTTTTTGGATTTTTTTGGATCTTTTTTATAACAAATTTTTAGGTTCAAATTTCTGGTAGAATGAGGCATATAGTCTCCGAAACTAGTTTAAGGATGGATCATTACCCGCAAGGAAAGGATGGATGTTCTAATTATGAACAAGATTCTGAACATTTTATTAATCCGGACAGATCAAAAACTAATAATTTTTATGCTTGCAAGTATGGTCCTTTAAAGGTTTGATTTGTTTTTTTAACTAATTGATGTTGGGTTTTTATTATCATTACGAATTTATTTAGTAATACTCCATTATTGTAAAAAATGGCAGATGGACTTCCAGACCCTCCCGTTTTGGAAGAAATAAGATTAGTCAATGTTGGGGATTTCCTTTGAATTAAGCTTAAAGTACTTGGCATTTTTTAAAATCATAATCGATAAAAAATTTCTTTAAATGACTTACCTAAGGTTAGGTCAATCTAAAGTCAATTTATGTGCCCGATGAAAGTATTTTTGAAGTCTCATGGGGTTTTATAGTTTAGTTCCATGTTTATAACGCTTCATACCCACATCTAAACTTTTACGGACCCAGGTGTCGTGTGTATTGTTATTGAGGATTTCACATTTGAGCTTAAAGTTAATCTTTATGTGCTTTATCTCCTTAAAATGTTGTTTTCTTTTTAATCACAAAATTGATTTTCTTTATTTTTTAGCCAAATCGCAATTATAAAGCAACAATATGGGCAGAGAATGGAGCTGGAAAGAGTAATGCTGCCTCATTCACTGGTCAATGTATAATGGATTATGCAGAACCTGAACATATTGATCCACCAGAGGCACTTCCACGAACAAATATTTCTTCGTTTTCTCTTTTATTGAATGAGCCAGATCAAAGCAATGGACCAATTTCGTAAGAAAAATAATTTTTATTTTAATCTTTGGAAGTTTTTTAGTTGTTATTTTCTTGCCATTTTGCCTTTACCTGCATCTCTCAATGGATTACCTCAAAGAGAATTAATTGCTTATGGAACATTTGATGAATCACTGCGAAATAATCTTTTGCATTCTACAATAGATAATAAACCGTTTTTTGCATATATTGCTGAAAGTTATGTTAGACTGCCTAAAAATGTAAAGGTTTTTTTAATTAAAATGGGTTGTAGAATTTTGATTTTTATATTGACTAGCTATTTTTTGGTTCTATATTTTTATGTTTTCTTGGGCTGAGAACTATCCAAAAGAACTGAAAAAATTTTTTTCAATCATACCGACAATTCTTGTTTTTATATTGAAGAGAAGTTTATGGGAGATAGCTGGTTTTTAGTCGACTCACTAATAGCCATATTTTACAATTTTTTAAAATTTGGTTGGGGAGCTACATTCAATTTAAGATGCACTTTATTTTAAAGCCTAATTTTTCAATCCTAAGGGATTGAAAGTTAGGTAAGTGAGGTCTATAATTTAGTGAGGTGAGGTATATAAGTTATATACGGTCTATATATACACAGTCTATATACAGTATAATTGAAGTCCGGATTCATATAGATATTATTTTTATTTCTAGACAATTATTGGTGACGGTTCTACATCTGGAGGTGTTCAACCGTGTAATTTACCTCATATGCAAATTAAAGCTAACGACCCAGCACTCGTTCCAGATTTAAAATATACAGGATTTTTAATTGTTAAAGTAAATAGAGATGTAAATTTGTACAATTCTTCATTCGATAATAAAATTAATTGGAATTTGGATTCGCAAGGAATTCGTCATATTGGTAGAAGACAATTACCTGATCCTGATTTGGCATATTATGGATATTCTGGTAAAAATATAAATAATTTTATAATTCCTTTTTTGGCCTAGTCCGGTCCTATTTCTAAATTAATTATTTTTATTTTGCTATTTATGTAGTGGTCATTAAAATTTTTCTCATAAATTTCCTTGGTGTAGTGGTATCGTTCTTGACTGAGGTGAGAAATTGCCCGGGTTCAAGTCCGTTCAACGCATCTAAATTTCTTTTGATCTTCTAAATTATCTCTGCTTATTTTTATTCCTAAAAATATATTTCAAAAATTTATTTTTATTTAATGGGATGTCATTTAACTTTAAATTATGGATTTTCGCGGAGGATTTTTAGTGATTTTTTCGGGAGATTTTAGATATTTCAGGTTATGCTTTCTAACAATAAGACTGATAAGAAAAATATTTTTTAGTTTTAAAATTATTCCTGAATAGATTATGAAATATTTACAAAAAAAATTTTTATAATATTTTTAGATTATTTTACACCTGTCATCCTTCAAATAAATGGAAATGGAATGACTGCTTTGGAAATGTTTTTAATTTGTTTATTTCTTGTACTCTTTCTCGTTCTTTCAACAATTATAGTTCTCTACTTTTTACGAAAGTATTCAATTTTTAAAAATTATTTTTAATTTAAAATATTTTTTAAAAATAGGAAAGGAATGATTAAACAATTTTGGCCAATTAAAAATACTTCTCATGATATGTTGAGACCTGTAGTTCCTCCTGCACCAATACGTGCTAGTGAAATTCCGTCAGAATATATTCTTCGACACAGAGATTCGGATTATCAATTTTCACAGGAATTTGAGGTTTTTTTAATTGTTAAAAATTTTTTGGGGACATTAGAATGTCTGTTCCTTATTTTGTTAACATTGTTGGTCATTTAATAATGACTCACATATTAAATATGGTAAGGACTCCCTTTCTTGCCGTTTGTTATCTTATTTTTATAGAAAAATAACATAACAAAATGTGTGTTGGTTGTTTTATTTGTGTTGACGCAATTTTTTTAATGACCAACAACATAACACTGAGATTCAGGACCACTATCAGGGCTGCACGCAATTAGCTTATCCTTAAATTCCATGTTATGTGTTATATATTAAAAACATGTTTCTGTAAAAATTGACCACAAAACTACCCAACTTCTTTTTATAGGTGTTTATCTTTTTAAAAAGATTAATTTTCAGTTACTTCCTCGTGGGAAGAATCTCGACCACACAATTAGCGAAAGAAGAGAAAATATTAAAAAGAATCGGTATAACGATATTAAAGCTTGTGATTCAACACGTGTTCGTTTAAAACAATCAACTGGCAGTCCAACAAATTCATCAGATTATATAAATGCTAATTTCATTAAAGGATATAAAGGCAGAAAAGTTTTTATTGCTACACAAGGCCCATTAGAATCTACTATTCCTGAATTTTGGAGGATGATTTGGGAGAGAGGGTGTAGACTTGTTATTATGGTTTGTTGTTTAAATTGTTTTTTTTAAATTCTTTGGAGTTTTGGTTTAAAATTTCTTATGTAGGAGGGGAAAATAAATTAACGCTTTTTGATGCAAAAACAAGAAAATGTTTTTCCCCAGATATTCGAAAAAATTGTTTGAAATTTCTTATCAACCTCTCCGTCGTGTTAATTTTCTTATACCATTTTCCAAAAATATTTTTTCTGCGCATTTAACTTGATTACCTCTTTAAATTAGAGTTTTTTGGATTATTTTGACTAGAATCCATTTATCGTTTTCTATTTAATAAATTTCTTTTTAATTTTTAGGTAACAAATTTGCGAGAACGTGGAAGGGAGCAATGTGCAAAATATTGGCCAGATGATGACGAGCCCCCTTTAGTATTTAATAAAACACTTGAAGTAGCTCCAATTGATTCATTTTATTATGTTGATTATACGGTTTATTTAATTTTTTTAATATTTTTAAAAATTTTTGTTTTAAGCTCAGACACTTTGAAATTTCTGACACTGAACCTGCTCAAATTAAAGCCAATGGAAGAACATTTTCTGGAACGGGTAGTACAGCAAGTAGATATACTGGAAGCAATTCTCCCCCTCCAATGATTGATGAAATTACTAAAAATCGTTTTGTGTTGCCTATAAATGGAAGAAATCAATCTCCGCCTTTAAATTCAGAAATTACTTCTCCATCAATTTTAAATGCTGCATTGGCTGCTGCAAAGGGAGGAGGAAATCAAATGAATAGCTCAATATATTCTTATAATTCTCGCTCATCTCCGCTCGATTTGTAAGTGAATTTGATCTTTCTTACTTCAAACTGTTTTAGTGACCGTCATTCCTCTTTGAGTCCTTCAAATGCTGGCCGCCATCGACCAGATTCTGAATATGCTAATATTGCTAGTATTGTCCGTCCACCTTCAAAATGTAGTGAGAGAGCTTCGATGAGCGATGGAAGAGGTTTATAATTCTATTTATAAATGAAATTTCCCAGCAAATCTGACCTATTAAAATTTTTATTCTAGAACAAGAAATATCCTTAATCATATAAGATGTGTCCTTTAGATTAACCATTAGGGCGGAAATGTCAACAATAGTCAAACATTTCATAAACAGTATTTTGCATATATTAAGGGACCGTATCTAGATTTAAATTTGGAAACAATTTTGCTACCCTACCTCATTTTTAATCCAAAAATTGTTTAAACTTCTTTGTCAGACCCAACACTTATTTTTCTTATTAGGAAGATTTTTCATTTAATTTGACTTTCTAATATTAAATTAATTTTTTTTATAAAATTCTAGAAAGGCGGCGTATCATGCAATACCATTTCACGTCTTGGAACGATTACAGAGCTCCAGAATGTTCAACAGCATTACTCAGGCTAATATGTAAATTAAGAAAAATGGAGGAATATAATCATTGGCCAGTAGTTATACATTGCAGGTTTTGTAAATTTTTTATTTCAAAAATTTTTATTTTTTCTAGTGCCGGTGTTGGACGTACAGGAACTTTTATTGCAATTGATTATGTTATGGACCAAATTTTGGATACGGGAATGGCTGATGTTTTTGGTTGTGTTACTGAGATGAGACAACAAAGGAATTTAATGGTTCAATCAATGGTAAAATAAAAAATAATTTTTGAAAGATTTTTTAGGTTGGAAAAAACCCGGACTTTTTACCCAAATACTCATTCTGAAGAAAAAAGTTTGAAATTTCGACCTGACTTTTTTCTTAAATTGTAATTCACAAACTTGTTTAAGAAAAACCTGGTAGATCAAGAATCTTAAAAAAAATTTTTAGGAAGGAGTTAGTCTGCAATACTCGATTAAACATTTACTAATTCAGAAAATTTAAAATTAACTTTTTCTCTCTCAAACCATTTTTAAATTATTTAAAAAATTACAACTACATATATTTTCTCTTTTATTTTTCTCAGGAACAATATGTCTTTATTTACAAAGCTTTAGCAGAATTTCAACTTTTTGGAGATACAGATTTAAATTTGTCAGAATATAAACTTCACTATTTAAAATTAAAGCTTCCTTTAACCCAAAAACTTTCCAAAGACGGAGTATCTGCCCATTTTCCAAATGATTCAAAAAATTCAACTTCAGCAGTCCAATTTTTTGTGAATGACCAAAGACGGAATTTAAAAAATTATGAGAACACAAATAATGGAATTGGGGCTGTTGTTAGAGCTAAATTAAAATTATTGAGGGATAAAGAAGATTTAAATAATAAAATACCTTCAAATTTACTGTGTCAACAACAACAAAATTGTTTACCTCCAAGAAATAAATTAGAAGCAGAATTTCAGGTTTTTTAAAATTATTTTTTAATGATTATTTGGGGCCTGTCATGGATTTTTGCTATTTATTTTTGCTATCCATTTTTTCTCGAAATGGTCAACATGACTAGAATTTTCAAAATGGTCAGATTAATTTAAATTTGAAAAATGGTTGTAGAAAATGGGTACATCAATTTTTTTGTTAATGTTATTGAAAAAATATTTTTTTTTAAATTTTAATCATTACATTTTTTAGGATCTCAGTATTTCATTAGAGAAATCAAAACCAGCAGATATTGCACTTAAAGAAGAAAACGCAGCAAAAAATAGATTTTCTGTAGCTGTTCCCTATAATTATAATAGAGTTAATCTTCAACCAATAATTGGATATGATAATAATACTTATATTAATGCTAGTTTAATTAAGGTGTGTTTTTTTTAATTTTTTGAGTTTTATTGTTTTATACTGATTATTTTATTTTCGAAAAGTTTATTTAGTTTTTCTTTGTGTTTGTAACGTTTTTAAATATTTTCTCTCATGTTCCATTGTGGTGTATTGGGTAGTGTATTTGACTACACCTACTTTTGGGGAGGGTTCGATTCCTTCACAGGCCTGATAATTTTTGCTTTGTATTCTTGCCTTGTAATCATTATTTTTAGTAGTGCTTGATAATATTTTATATTTTTATTTATATAAAATTTTATTTTTAGGGTCATCTTTATCCATATATTTTTGCACAAGGTTTTTAAATTAATTTAAAATATTTTTATTTTTTGTTTAATTTTTAAGATCCTCTCGGACCAGAAACTGCATTTAATTTTTGGCGAATGATTAATGATCAACAAACATATACAATTGTAATGCTTTCTACTGAACAAGATTTTTTGCCACACGAAATGGTTTTTCTTTAAAATAAATTTCTTTGATCTTTTAAATTCTTAAAGTACTGGCCAAGAGAAATAAGTAAACGTTTAGTTCTTGGAAAAAATAATGAATTAATTATTACTTTAACTGAGGAAGTTGTTTTGCCATATTTTATTCAAAGGAAGTTACATTATCGTTTTACGGTTAGTTTTTCAATAAATTTTTTTTTAATTTTGCAAGGAAAAAGGGGAGATCAAGCTGGCTGTCCTTTAAGAAAACGTTTACTAAGTGAGGGTTAAAAAAGGATCAAAGCAGCATCCCGATAATCAGTTGGTGAAGCACCGTTCCTTGGTTAGCATAGGCACCTAACATGGATAGGCCCTAACGTATTTAAAAAATAGGAGATGGAAGCGAAGGAGGTCTCCTACTTTTTAAATACGTCATGGCCTATCCGTGTTAGGGACCTGCACTGACCACGTACAGGTGCTTCACCAACCTGGCCCCTAGTACTAATTGCCAGTAGTTCGCAGTATCGATGCCTTCCCTGGGCTAAACTTTTCCTCTTCATAGAAAATAATTTTTTTTTACAGAAAACAGAAAAAGGAGGTTCAAGTTCGGGAAGAGATGTTCTTCAATATTCATTTAAACAATGGACAAGTGGAGCATCTATTCCAAATTCAGCCAAATCACTTTTAGATTTAATTGGAAGGGTTTTGGAAAGACAATCAAATATTCCTTGTGCGGGTCCAATAATTTTACATTGTAGAGATGGATCTGCTGAAAATGGAATTTTTTGTTGTGTTTCTTTACTTGTTGAAAGGCTACGGTCTGAACAAATGATTGATGTAAGGAAGGAGGGAATTTTTGTAGGGGGGGGGGATTTTTTAAGGGGATTTTCTGAAAATTTGAAAAAAAAAATAAAAATTAGGTTGAAAAATTTTTTAATTTTTTAAAAAAATTTTTGACAAATTTATGGGATTTTTTGGGCACATTATTGAATTTCCCATTTTTTAATTTTCTAAAATTTTTTAAAGGTATTTCGAACAGTTAAATCACTTCAACAACAAAGACCACTTCTTTTTACTAAAATTGTATATTTTTTATTTAAATTAATTTTAATTAATTAAAAAAAATTTTTAAGGAGCAATATTCATTTGCTTATGATTGTGTAACTGAATACCTCAATTTATTAAATAAATAGATTTTGAGAGAAAAAAAGGGGAAGAAAAATAATTAATTGACTATAAAATTAAAATAATTTTTAATTATTTCTTTACCCAATTCACTTTCTTAATTAATTAATTGGAATGTTACCTTTGGACATTTTTTTCTATTTTTTAGGGTTAATGAGAAAAGTTTTTTTGACACCGTGCAGTAATCGAACCTGCAATTTCTTATTCTCTATTTGTCTTTTTTAATCATTACCTAAATTTTAATTTCCACAATGTTTTCCGATTTCCAACACCTCTGAATGTTCTGATCCACCTCAATGTCAGGTAACAATAGCCTAAAATCTCTCTAAAATAACAACATTCAGACCTCTCTTCTTATTTGACAAATTAATTTGAAAAAAGAGAGGTTTGATAATTCATAATATCTACATATTTGCCATTTTTTGTTTTTATTTTGCCTGTAATTTTTAAATTAATTATGTGTGGTTTGATGGAATTTGAAAAGTTTTTCAAAAAATTTTCCAAAAATTTTTTTTCACCCAATCAATTTAATTTCCATCAAAAAACATGGTAATATTCAATTTCGTTCCCCCCTCCTTTTTTCTATCCTCAAAGTATTAAAAAATGGTCAGTCTGACTTAAGTTATAGAACTCGTCGAGCTGAGTCGAATGACACCAAAATCAAAAAAAATCCGACTCGATTTGACCAAAATACAGACCCCTGAAAATTGAACAACCACAGGGGTGATTTTTTAAAATAAAAATTTTTTATGCATATGATAGCTCTTCGAAAGAGCTCGTCGAGCTGAATCGAATGACACCAAAAACGACGTGATTGGACATGGTTTGACAAAAATATGACCGTAAGTGTAACCTAACGGAGTCGACGACTTATGTCATAACTTTGTCAAATCTTCTGCAATCGCGCTGATTTTGGTGTCATTCGACTCAGCTCGACGAGCTCTTTCGAATGAGCTATCATTTGTATAAATTTTCGTCTTTATGGTTTTTCGCCCCTGTGGTTGTTCAATTTTCAGGGGTCTGTATTTTGGTCAAATCGAGTCGGATTTTTTTTGATTTTGGTGTCATTCGACTCAGCTCGACGAGTTCTATAACTTAAGTCAGACTGACCATTTTTTAATAGTTTGAGGATAGAAAAAAGGAGGGGGGGGAACGAAATTGAATATTACCAAAAACATTTAAATCTCATAATTCACCTAAATTATTTAGAATTTGTTTTTTTTTCTTTGTTTAGCCGAATAAAAGAACTAGTCATAATCAAACATGTCGCCCCCTCCATTGTTTATATTCTGTAATTATTTAAAAATGTTTTGTGTTTTTTTAATTATTTTATAATAAAATATTTTTTGTATAAAAAATAAATTTGTCTTAATTTTAGTCGATTTTTATAAAATCCGATTTACTTCACTTTATCAGACTTTTCTGTTTGTTTTTTTTATTTACCATTACCAAACTGGATCATTTCTTAAATTGTCCATTTTAAAATGAAATGAACAGGGAAATTCTATTCTGGCGAAATGTCAATTGGCAAAATGTCTTTTGATTAAACGAAATAAAGATACCTAAAGTTTTCGAAACACCTAAATGTCAGTTAAATTTTTTCGGAACGTCCCACTTGTGTACCGGCCGTTTGTGTACCTGGCCATATTTTGGACTATAACTTTTTTGATTCTTAACCGACTTAAATTATTATTATACCAATCGAAAGCCCTGGATGTGAGGATTATTTTCGCCAACAGGATTGATTTGTTCAGATCATGTTATAAAAAGTTATATCTCGATAAATGCGCTCAATCGTGATTTTGATCTTTATCTGTCTGTAACTTTTTGTATGATGATCTGATCAAATCAATTCTGTTGGCGAAAATAATCCTCACATCCAGGGCGTTCAATTGACATATTATTTATTTAACTCAATTAAGAATCGAAAAAGATATGGCCCAAAATATGGCCAGGTACACAAACGGCCGGTACACAATGATCCCCCGCCCAATTTTTTTTGTTAATTTTTAACTTTGATTCCATGGTTTTTTCCAAAAATTTACACTTTATGATTGTAAATATGTTGTAAATAGTATAAAATTTTTGGTAAAAAAACGCTATATAAATGTTAATATTTATTCAAAAATTTATTTATATGATAGATAGAATTAAATATTTATTTATTAACAAAAAAAGAAATTATTCAATTGATTCTTGTGAAGAAGTTGGGGAAGAGGAAATGAATAATTCTCAGGTTTTTTGAATAATTAAAATAAAAATTATTTTTTTAGCAAATTATTGGGCATATTGTGGACTGCAAAGATGACTATTTTACTATGGTTGCTACTGACTACACTAATTATGAATTGTATATTGCTCCTAATAAGTATGTAAAGTTTGTTTTTTTATTTATTTTTGAGTTAGTCCAACCTTGTACTTATTAAGGCTATGCTTACATAAACAGCGTTTTCCGGAAGAAAATATTTAAATGAAGAAAGGATAGAAATACGTCACATTCTGTATGAAATTTTCTTCCGTAAGACGCTTTTTTGTAGTCACGTCATTCAGCTTTGCGAAAACCTCAGGAATGTCGTTTTGGTGTAGTGGGATAGCGTTCAGGTTTTATTCCCCATGACAAAGGTTCGAATCCTACTGATGAGAAACAATTTTTATTTTTTGTATAATTTCTATATTCATCACGTTACTTTTTAACCAGGAATTTTTCTTAATTTTTATCCTTTCCAAAACCCTTGCCCATTAATTATTTTAAATTTCTCTCTTCCTTGGCATTTCTTTTGCTTTTAATTTTCCTCTTTTAAGGCGTTTATTAATGCCGGAACTGAACGGATTTTATCAATGTAAAGGAACTATATCTGAAAGAGATGATGGACGGATTGCTTTTGCTGTTGAATCAATCAAGAAACTCGAACGTGGATGTAAAGAATTGGTAGAAAATATTCCTCAACAGGATTACCAGACAGCACACAAACTTATTTGTGGATCATCTGACGTTTCTTCTCTCTTTTCTTCTTCATTTTTTGGCAAAAGGTTTCCTTTTTTTCAATTATAAATTAGTAGGGGGGCTGGGTTGACCAGAAATGTGATAAATAGATAAATATTTTTATTTAACCCCTGGAAAAGGTGAAATTTTTATTTTTTTTTTGCCAGCAGGGCTTCCCTGAGACAGGGAATCGACGGATTGCATTTGCTGCCGAATCCTTAGTTAACTCCACACACTCGTATTAGAGTATTTTGCATATACGAATCTACTCTCTATTGATAATTAAATTTTTTTAATTTCTTAAGTCTTATCAATCTTTCTGGGAATCCTTCTAACTCAGAAAGCGTAAAGGATGAAAATGGTTGCGATCTAAATCAAACGGCTGAAACAATTACTGAAGAAACTGACTTAAACAAAACATTGAAAGAAGAGGATTATTCTGATACTAAAGAAAATGGTTAATTTTTAAGAATTTTTAAAAATAATTTTTAGAGCCTTTAAAAGTTGAAAACAACGAAAATGTGCCAGCAATAGTGATTTCACTTGATAAATGCAAAAATATTGCAAATTTGTTTGTTCTTGGACAGAAAGGCCCTTTGATTAAAATTGCTATAAAATCGTTAGTTTTTTGAGGGAAAAGATTTTAAAAAAATTAATTTTTTAAAGTTTGGAAGCCCCAGTTCAATTAGGCCAGTGGTATTCAATTAAATTATGTGAGTTGAAGAAAACTAAAGATTCTTCAATTTGTTATAATAATTTTGCAAAATTGTTGGGAAAACAGCCGCCTTTAAAAACTAAAATTTCTTCGAGTGGAACTGTTCAGGTTTTTGATTTAAAAATTACTAAAGAAATTTGACAAAAAAATTTTAATAAATTAAAATATTAGGATATAGTGTAGTTCACCGGAGGTAAAAGTTCGGGACGAGACATATGTCATTCGATTTGTCTCGGCGAGCTGAGTCGAACGGTACCACTCCCAATTTCAGGAAATGATTCTGGACCGAGTTATAGGTCCCGAAAAATCGAAAAACCAAAGGGGGGAGTAAGCACTTTTTTGGTGTGAAAAATTCGAATGTACAAATTATAACTCATTCGAAAGAGCTCGTCGAGCTGAGTCGAATGACACCAAAATCAACGAAATCCGACTTGATTGGACCGAGATATAGACCCCCTAAAAATCGAAGATCCAAAGGGGCGATTTTTGGAATAAAAAATTTTTTATACAAATAATACCTCATTCGAAAGAGCTCGACGAGCTGAGTCGAATGACACCAAAATCAGCTTGATTGTAAAAGTTTGGACAAAGTTACAATAGAAAAACAAACAACATAAACCTTTGGGTCGTCGGCGAGGCGCTTGTGCAAAACCCCGTGCTTCGCGCGGGGTTTTGCGGCACGCGCCTCGCGAGGAGTCTACGGGCGCTGGGTCTGGGCTCGTAACATAAACCTATTCCCATCTCCCTTGCTCTGGACGTATTTGGGGCCTCCGTAGCAGCAAAAATCTCCACAGATCCCATAGGTAAGGAGCTAAAATAAAAGATCATAACTTTGTCCAATCAAGTCGGATTTCGTTGATTTTGGTGTCATTCGACTCAGCTCGACGAGCTCTTTCGAATGAGTTATAATTTGTATATTCGAATTTTTCACACCAAAAAAGTGCTTACTCCCCCCTTTGGTTTTTCGATTTTTCGGGACCTATAACTCGGTCCAGAATCATTTCCTGAAATTGGGAGTGGTACCGTTCGACTCAGCTCGCCGAGACGAATTGAATGACATATGTCTCGTCCTGAACTTTTACCTCCGGTGAACTACACTACAGCCAAATATTTTTTAAACATGAAAAATATTTTTAAAAGGAATTTTCTATACAATTGTTTTTGGGAAAAATCCATTTTAATTAAATATTTAAGTGCCTAAGTAGTTATTTTAAAAAATTGGGTGACTAAAATTTGTGGTGTAGTGGTATCGTCTTTGATTACAATTAAAAACGGCATGGGTTCGAGTCCTTATGGTTCGCTCCATTTTCTTTTTATTAAATTTATAGTTGAGAAATGATTTACAATTTTTTAAAAATTATTTTTAGTTTTTAACAATAGCAATTTTGGACAAAAGGACAGAAAACGGTTTTTTCTGTTTTAAATCTTCACATTTTCCTTTTATAATTGATTCTTCTTGTTTATTAAATCATTACAACGACAACGAAATTAAAAAAGTAAAGTTTTGGTGTTGTTTAAGAAGAATGCCGATTGAGGGATGTTATTGGAAAATTATTGGAATTTTAAATAAAAATAAAAAGAAGTTAGTTCCATATATTGAAGAAGAAAAAGAAAAGGAAGAAAAAATTAGAAAGGAAGAGGAGAAGAGGAAAGAAGAGGAGAAACGGAAGGAAGAAGAAAAATTGAAGGAACAACAAAAAATTAGACAGAATGCCAAAGAAAAACAAAAAAAGAATGAAAATGGAATTTTTGAAGGATTTGTTTGTGGACAAATAAATAATGAATATTTGGTTTATTTGCCTGAAGAAAAAGAATTTGGACATTTACCGATGAGAGGAAAAATGGATAAATTGTTGGGAATGTGGATACAATTACAATTGTTTGAAAATTTTTAAATTAAATTAAAAAAAATTTTTTTAGACGTTTAATTAACGGAAAAAGAATGATAGAAAAATTTTCTGTGATAGAACCAAGAATGTTGTTAATTGTGTCTCAGGAAAATCGTGTTATGGTTAGTTTTTTTAAATTTTTTTCGGTCTCAATCAATTAGGAAAGACATTTTCGACCCAAAATCAGAGTAAAAAAATAATTTCTTTATTACCGTAAATATCCTAATAGAAGCTCTGGATTTGTATTTTTCAATACCCCTAATTGAGTGGGCTTCTATTAGGATATTTACGGTAATTTTTCTCCCCATTGGAATTTTGTAATTCTGAAAATTATCAGTCATTTTTGATTTTTAAGCACTTATTTTGTCAAACTAGTGGGACTTTACTTTTTTTTAATAATTTTTTTAAAATTATATATTCCCTTAACCTGGGCCCCAGCCTTTCTATTTTTTTCTATTTCTAAATTTTTATTTTTTTAAACAGTTCAAAGCAAAAATAGAAGTTCCTCTCTTACAAAATACTTCATCTTTGCCTTTTTGTCGATCACTTGGAATTTATGTTAAAGATAATTATAATTTATTGCAAGCAAAACATTGTGGACGTTTTATCAACACAACAATTGGGTGTTTGGTACAACCATTGGAAAATGAGGAAAATTTAGTTCAGTTTGAAATTTTGCATATTTTGGAACGTTAGAAGAATTTTGAAAGTTATTTTTTTATTTTCTTAATTTATTGAATTTTTAAAAATTAATTTTATAAGAATTTTTTGAAATTTATCATAAATATAATTTTTTGAATATAAATCTCTGACCGGATAATTTAATTTAAGAATTTAATTTTCGTATACAGTCGGACCTCCTTATGTATATCAGGGGTCTTCCACCAAAAATGGCAAAGGACAAAAAGCGGAAGATATGCTAGTTTCTTAAATTGGAAGTATCGCTTGGGCTTTTATCCCCCCTCCTATTACCCAAACCAAACCTAAATTAACGTACAATTACCGCGTTGGGTGTATTTACAAAATGAGAGGTTAGACTGTATATATTAATTATAAAAATTTAAAAATATAAAATTGACTAGAAATCAATCATTTTGTACGGGGAAAGTATTCCTTTTGGATCAAATAATTTTTTAATTGATGAACTTATATCTCTAATCTTTGGGTTAACTAAATTGTGGTGAAAGGTTCTCTTTACGTGTCCAATTCCATGCTCTGCTGATATACTGCCGCCTTTTGAATAGACCCATTCATAGACAAATGGATATAATCTGGAAATTGAAAAAATGATTAATTTTTTTTCAAAATTTTTGTAAAAAATAAAAAATTTTCAGAGAATTTTTTTGAAAAATTTTTCAACCTCCAACCATTCTCCCTTATTTTTAGGGACTTCACTTTCCTATGTGAGTCAATTTACAAATTTCCCTCCAGTTGTTTTGTTGGTGTAATGGTTGGTGTGTTTGATTCAGATATTTTTCGCCGTGGGTTCGATCCCCTATAGGCTTTTCTATTTTTATCTCACTCAATATTACTTAAATTTTATTTTAAAAAATTCCCCTGACCCATACCCAAAAAATTTTCAAAAAAATTCCTTACAAATCATAAATTTTTTGATCATATTCAGGAATAGAAACATTTATATGTACATTTCCATCACCAATATGTCCAAACGAAATTATTCTTTTTGCTTTTCCATTTAATTGTTTTCTAACTGCTTCGGGTAATTCATAAAAATATTTTAGAGGAAGAGAAAAGTCGTGTTTAAATACATAACCATCTTTTCTGATTGCCTAGAAAATTGAAGAAAAAAAATTTATTAGAAGAAAAGGTTTGGAGAGTTAAGGGATACTTACGAGTCTAACTAAAACCCCCAAAAACACCCAATTAAAAAACCCCAAAAAAACAAAACTCGAGACTGAATCGAGCTAGATTTCTAACTAAAATCTTGGTTAAAGATTTTTTTTCTAGAAAAATCGATTACACTTCTTGTACAATTCTCCCACAGTCTTTTATTAACCAACCTTCCTAAAAATGTAAATAGAAAAACTAAAAGATTATTTGACATTTATGACAAAAAAATAAGATTTTTAATTAGGAATCTATCAAGAAATTTATTAAACCTAACCAAAGGACAACTTTCTCTAATTTTCCATAATTGGTCTGCTTCAGAAGCATTTTTAGCCAAAACACCGTCTTCAGCCAATCCACTTTCCAAAATTTTAGTTAAAAATTTATCCATTTTGGACGAATCATGTTCCTCATTTGAACCTAAAAAATTTAAATTTAAAGAAAATTTGTTTGAAAAAACCTGAAGTTTCAATTAAAAGAAAAAAATTAGACAAAATACTCAAAGGGCAATCCAACCCAGCATTTTCTTTAACCATTTTCATTGATTCTCCATCAATAAATTCAAAAGAAGAAATTATTTCGTTAAGCATTTGTTTGCCTAGTTTGAGTATTTGTTGACATTTTTCGAAGGAATTGACACCTTAAAAATAAATTTAAAAAAATAAATTAAGCATAAATTCTTTAAGGACATTTTCAGGGACCCTTTCCAAATAATCAAGAGTGGGCATGGTTTCTCGCAACTAAATTTGTTGCGATAGAAAATTTTTTTGACAGTTTTGGAAAGTCAAGAAGTAAAAACCCTCTCCTAAATGAGGCAACAGGAAGTGAACACAATTAGGAATGAGTTGGCCTTGAACACCTTCCCGACCCTAAGAAAAATCTAAACCAAGCGACTAAATCAAACCATAATTTAAAAAGATAACCTTAAAATTCTCCATAAAAAATTATTAATTTAAAAATAAACCTATCATCGCAGAATGTACAGACAACGGCCTCGGCACAACTTGCATAAACACTTTAGTAATCACTCCAAGTTGCCCCTTTTCATTAAAATTCCAAAATTCATTCCAAAATTTTTTTAATTTATTGAGACCTCTGATCCTATGAACAATTTATGTAAATGTAAATCGGCATTGTCTTTACGTAGAGGTGAGCCTAAACGAAGAATTTGACCTTGTTCATTTGGCAATACCTTAAAAATAAAGAAAATGTTAGATTTATTATTTACGGGCTAAAAATGTTCAAAATGCTTCAATAAAACTGTCAATCTTTTGACTTTAACATGTTTACAAGACATATCGAACTGTATGTGAAAATTTGTATTTTTTGCACCATCGTGTAAGCAGGGTCGATAACCTATCGGCCATTTTTCTTTTTTTTTTGGCCCTGACCCCCATTTCGAATAGAATAATTGAGAGTATGGCTGGACCTCTACAGAATGTAGGGCTGGGTTTTAGCAAAAAAAAGGTCGTGGCTAGACGGGGTCGAACCCTAATTGGGATTTTTCAAGTTAATTTCATACCACTTCAAGTCCAGTAACATTTGCATGCATAGATCCATATCTAATTAATCTAATCCCTCCAGCATTTGTAGCAACAACACCGCCAATTAAACAACTTCCTTTTGCCCCTAAATCAACAGGCACCATATACCCTTCTTTGGCTATTCGATTATCCACTTCTTCGAGTACAAAACCAGAATCACATTCCAAAATACCTTAAAATAATTTTTTATTAAAAATGAGTAAATTAATTTCTGAGGAAGTATCATCGAATTTTTATATTAAAATAGTCCGCAATTTATAAAATTTGAACACGAACAGGGATATCAGAGAAAAAAGTTGGGTTGGTATCTAATCGGAAAATTGTTCGGCTTTTGGATAACCCTTGACATCGCGACTTGAATTTAGTTCTATTTATTTTTGGCATTTTATGCTAGCTAGAAAATTATCTCTATTTCTAAAAATTTATAAAATCGTAGAAAAGATTTTTAAAAAATCCGAAAAAATAAAAATGTCCGCAAAAAGCTCTTCTGTAATTTTTAAATAAAAACCTGAAGTCGAATCCAATTCAAAATTTTTAGTAAATTTTTTCATTGATAAAATTATTTCATCATGCATCTAAATTTATAAAAATTACTCAAAAAATCTTTAAAAAACTAACCGGAATTGACCCCCCAACCAATCCAGTATTTCCAGATTGGGGCACTACAGCAAGCTTTCTTTTATAACAATGAAAAAGAATTGAGGATATTTGTTGGGTATTTTCTGGTAAAAGAACACATGAAGAATTGCCTTTATACCAATGCATAAAATCAAAATTGAAACTGAAAAGAATTTTAAGAATTTTTAGATTTTTAAATCTCTTTGGGGCTAAAAAGTCATGTTTTCTGACAAAAGTTAGAATGCGAAATACTTTAGGCAGCCAAACAGACAAATCAATTACCTAATTTTGTGGGTATTTAAAATTGGGGGTGGACTATTTATTAGGTAAAAATTTAATCAATTTAAAATTCAAATTTAATTCAGCAACCCCTCCTTAAAAATAGAACCGCAAAAATGTATCTTACATTATGAGTGTTAGCCTAATTATAATTTAAAAACAAAAATCGTACTTCTTACTTATTTTTAGGAAGATGGAAAAATGAGGAAAAATAAAAATTAGAAAAAATTTAAAAAACTTTACCAAAAAAACTACTTACTCATCAATTTCATTAGTTTTTACATTATTTTCCCCCAACAAATTTTGAAAAATAAAAATATCATCTTTTGTTAATTTAGAAAAATCTTGCCTTCTTTCTGGAATTTTAATTGAAGTAGATATTGTTCTAATTAATTTTTGATGTAAATTATTTTGTTGTTTTAGTAGAAGAATAATTGATTTTGAAAACATTTAAAAATAAATAAAATTGGGTAATTAATCTAAAAAATAAATTTTATTTTCGTTATCAGTAAAGGGAAAAATATTTTTTGATAAAAAGGTTGTTATTAAAAAAGAAAGGGGAAAAATCGATTTAGCTAACAAATTAACTAAAACGATAGTTAAGAAAAAAATTTTTTGACAAAAAATAATTGGGTGGGGGCTAACTCAAGGAACAGACAACTCGGTAATCATGTAGAATTGGGGATACACTTTTAAAATCCTTAAAAATCATTATTTTTTTCTGAAAATCATTTTATATAGGTAATCGACTATGCTGATCACGAATCTGATATCAGATTTTGTCATATATGACATTTTATCTATGATTTTTTATTATATACTTAATTTGGGGGCGCTTTAGTATATGCCCAGTTTTTTCAGCGAAGATTCCGTTGGTCATAACGTTGTTCAGAATCATTCAATCGAGCTGATTTTGGTGTCATTCGACTCAGCTCGTCGAACCCTTTCGAATGAGCCAAATCCGACTTGGTCGAAATCGTGTCCGGGGTTCGAACTATACAAAATCTGATATCAGATTCGTGATCAGCATAGTCGATTACCTATATAAAATGATTTTCAGAAAAAAATAATGATTTTTAAGGATTTTAAAAGTGTATCCCCAATTCTACATGATTACCGACAACTCAAGGAAAAGACAAGTCAAGGAATATTTTAAAAATCAGAATTTTTTGGAAAATTTGAACATTTAAAAAAAACTTAAAAACAAAGAATACTTTAAAAAAATTAAAAAACAAAACTAAAGAATTCTGACTTTTAAAATATTCCATGATTTGGTCGTTCCTTGATTTGTCTGTTCCTTGAGTTAGCCCGCACAAAATCATAAATAATTTCACCGACTAAAAAAGAAAAAAATTTTTTTGGAAAATTCCAAATAATTCCTAAAAAAATTCAAAATAAAAATACATGGTTCTTTAATCCATATTTAAAGAAAAAAAGGAAAATCTTTAAAAAATAATAATTTTAATAAAGCAAAAAATTCTTTAAAACAATTTTTAACAAAAAAAAAAAATTATCTAATTTTTAATTAAAAGTAAATTTAGAATTTATTTTTAATTTTCTAAATCCTTCCCTTTCATTTTTGTCTTTCTCTCTAAAAAGTCTATCCATTCCATTCAATTAATGTCCTGCTCCCCCTCCCCCAGCAGCCTTCAAAACTTCATTAGCTACTTCAATTTCAATACCAGCCTCCGCTTTTTGAACATCTGTGGCTGTTGAGTCTAACGATTTTTTATTTGCCTCGTCTATTAATTGCTTTGCCACCTTAAAAAATATTTTTTGAAGTTTTTCGAGAATAAAAAAAGTGGGAATGTTTCGAGATAATCTCATAACTAAAAATTTGACAAAGTGATTGAATCTTAATCATCATTCCGCAGACGAAAAAATTTTAGAAGGCCGTAGGCCAAAAAATTCAGTTTTTTGCCCGATCCCTTCCCCAAATTTTTCCCCATTTCGGGGGGGGGGGCTTCCCAGACAATCAATTAACTGTCCAAAAATAAAACAGGAAGATGGGGTCGTCTTTCTATAAGTAAACAATAATCTAGTTGGTTACTTATTCTTAAAAATTTAAATGTGTCTAAATTTTTAGTTATTTACATTGCTATCAAGTTCATCCAAAGAAGCGCATTCTTCCACAAGAATTTGACAAGAACCATCAATATTCATAGAAAGAGAACCTGACGAAACAAAAAATTTGGAAACTTTTCCATCCTCCTCATAAACAGACAAAACGCCAGGCTTTAGCATTGCAATAGTTGGGACGTGGACAGGCAGAATTCCCTAAAGATTAAATAAGATAGATTTTAATCTAAATAAAAGCTTACCATGTTACTCGCCATCCCGGGGACGTCAATTTGTTTAACTGTAGTGTTTGAATAGATTGCCTGAAATTTTCAAAAATTAAAAATGGGAGAGAATGAGAAGTAAAACTAACATTAAATAGAGAACTAAGTTTTGGCCGTTATAAACAACCTGTATAAAATGGCACTATTCTATTTGCCTGCCTTAACTAAATAAAAGTGAAATCAAGATCCCCAAAACTAACAATTCGAAAATCAAAAGCTCAGGCATTAAATTTAGAAAATAAATCTCGATTTAATTCACAAAAAAAACATTAAAGTAAAGCAAACCTTAACCGGGGACGCAAGCGTAAGTTTAAGCTCTTTAGGTCCTCCATGTTCTGCTGGACTGGCAGCTGCAGCTGGAGCAGCATATCCACGCCCAAAAGAAGTGTAGACAGTTGGAAGTCGTTGAAATACACGAATAAATGAAGACATTTTGATTAAAATTCTAAAAATTTCGTTAATAATTCCAAATAGCCAAAATCTGGATTTGATTTAAAAGAGAGAGTAGATAAAAAAGAGAGGAAAAGTAAAAAGAAGCAGAGAAAAAGAGAGATAATTAGAAGAAGAGAAAATAATCAAGAGTAAATGTCTTTAATAAACACTTTGCCAATTTAAATATTAAAATAAGCTTTAAAAAATTTGTTGGCTTCATTTTTCACAAATCATTTGCTTAACCTTTGAGAAGCTTGTATTTAGTCTAGAAAATTTAAGAATAATTTTCATTTAGTGTAAATTGGAAGCGAGTTTCAAATTTTTTCTTTCACAATTTTCCCATAGTTTTATTTTTTTGGGTGCATTTTCTTTAACCGCTTTACTTTTTATTAATTTGTATTTTAGTTCAAAGCTATATTTATTTTTAACAATCTAACGTTAATAAAATGCGCGAGATCGTCCATATTCAGGCCGGACAGTGCGGCAATCAAATCGGATCCAAGGTTTTCATTCAAATCCTTCAGGACTCCATTCAAGGCAATCCCGGAGAATTGGGGTCCCTGCGAAAAAAAAGTTTAAAAATAAGAAAAAGGATTTTTCTAGGGTAAAAAAATATGCTGATTACGAATCCGAGTTCAGATTTCGGAAAAGTCGAATCCCGAACCCGAATTCGGACTTTTGATCCCGAACAGGACTTTTGACCCCGAACATTATCAGACATTGTACAAAATGGCCAGTCTTTCAATAGAATCATAGAACTCATTGAGCTGCATCGAATGACACCAAAATCAATGAAATCCGACCGGATTGAACCGAGATACAGACCCCTAAATATTGTAAACCACATGGGTGATTTTTTGGAGTAAAAAAAAGTTTTTACAAATGATAGCTCATTCGAAAGAGCTCGTCGAGCTGAATCGAATGACACCAAAATTACAGTGATTGATCAAGTTTTGACAAAGTTATGACATAAGTCGCCGACTCCTACAGTACTTCCATAAGTATACTTTATGTCATAACTTTGTTTAAACAGGTTCAATCACGTTGATTTTGGTGTCAATCGATTCAGCTCGACGAGCTCTTTCGAACGAGCTATCATTCGCATATTCGAAATTCGGGTTCAGGGTTCGAAATTTGGTTCGGGTTCGGGATTCGACTTTTCCAAAATCTGAGCTCGGATTCGTAATCAGCATATTTTTTTACCATAGAAAAATCCTTTTTCTTATTTTTAAACTTTTTTTTCGCAGGGACCCCAATTCTCCGGGATTGCCCCATTCAATATTTAAATTTTTAGTTTTGGGAGGTTATCTCTGATGAACACGGCATCCAACCTGATGGCTCGTACAAAGGCGACTCTCCTCTTCAATTGGAAAGGATGGATGTCTACTACAACGAAGCTTATGGTTTTTTTAGAGATTTTAATGTTTACATTATACTTTCTAATTTTTAGGCGGAAAGTATGTCCCGAGAGCTATTCTTGTTGACTTGGAGCCGGGGACTATGGATTCTATTAAGGCTGGCCCTTATGGTCGTCTCTTCCGACCTGACAACTTTGTGTTTGGCCAAAGCGGTGCTGGTAACAACTGGGCGAAAGGACATTATACGGAGGGAGCTGAGTTGGTGGACAATGTTTTGGATGTTGTTAGGAAGGAAGCTGAGGGATGTGATTGTCTTCAAGGATTCCAACTGACTCACTCGCTTGGCGGTGGAACTGGGTCTGGAATGGGGACTTTGTTGATTGCAAAGATTCGAGAGGAGTATCCTGATCGTATAATGTCTTCTTTCTCTATTGTTCCGTCGCCTAAGGTTTTTTTTTAACTTTGTAGCCCTTTCATTTTTTTATTCTTCAGGTCTCTGATACGGTTGTGGAGCCTTACAACGCAACTCTCTCGGTTCATCAACTTGTTGAGAACACCGACGAGACGTACTGCATTGACAACGAAGCTCTCTACGACATTTGCTTCCGGACTTTGAAACTTCAAAATCCAACTTATGGAGACTTGAATCATCTCGGTTAATTTATAATTTACATTTTTAAAGCAATCTTTCTCATTTAGTGTCTATAACCATGTCTGGAGTGACAACTTGTCTTCGCTTTCCAGGCCAATTGAATGCTGACCTTCGCAAGCTGGCTGTTAACATGGTTCCATTCCCGCGTCTCCATTTCTTCATGCCTGGTTTTGCGCCACTTTCGGCTAAGGGCGCTTCTGCCTACCACGCCCAAAATGTTTCTGAGTTGACTATGCAAATGTTTGACGCTAAGAACATGATGGCTGCTTGCGACCCACGACATGGACGTTATTTGACTGTTGCCGCCATCTTCCGTGGGCGCATGTCAATGCGTGAAGTGGATGACCAGATGATGTCTGTTCAGAACAAAAATTCTTCTTACTTCGTCGAGTGGATTCCAAACAACGTCAAAACCGCTGTTTGTGACATTCCTCCGCGTGGTCTCAAGATGTCTGCAACATTTATTGCCAATTCCACCGCCATTCAAGAATTATTCAAGCGCGTCTCTGAGCAATTCACTGGTATATTTATGCTTTAATTTGGGATTTTTGAAGAAGATTTTGTTGGGTGACAAATTAATTTTCCGGTCTCCTTAGAAAATAATCCTGCGCATCAAAGTAGGCTTTTATGAACTCCGCTTTAATTTTTTGGGGCTAAAAGACAATTAAAGTCATTTCATTCCTGAGCCAGTCAATAACCTTTCTATTTTAGCCATGTTCCGTCGTAAAGCATTTCTTCACTGGTACACTGGCGAAGGTATGGATGAAATGGAATTTACGGAAGCGGAATCGAACATGAATGACTTAATCTCTGAATATCAACAATATCAGGATGCTACCGTCGATGAAGAGGCTGAATATGACGAAGTTACTGGGACTGTTGAGCAGGAGGAATGACTTCAGATATATAAATGATAAATAAGATCTCGTTAACTGTATTTGAGAGACATTTAGGGACTCAATTATTGCCGCTTTGCATATCTAGATAACAAAAAACTAACTAGCTTGTCCCTGAATGTCTCTATTTTTGACTTTTTTGATGATGATCTTTGTTTGTTTCGTTCTATTAAATATTTAAGAAAATGAGTATTTATAAATTTTCGAGCTTTTTAGTGTTTTTGCTTTGTTTGGAGCTTTTTTTAGTACTTTACAAACCTTTATTTGAGATTGTCATCCGGCGTAAAGGATTAAAAATTACTAGTATTCTGTACGTCCTGGTGGTCACGAACTACATTTTAACAAACATTTAAGTTACCCTAGAAAAATTTTCATCACCCTTGTTGATAAAAGATCTCTCAATCTTATACATAATCATTTAAGCCTCACCAAAAGGCAAAGCAATTCCAAAATTTATCCAAGCTGCCACTTTTACGAGGGCAGGATACAATTAGTACCTCAAACTTGGGTAATTAAACCGAAGACTACATCAAAAGCAAAATATACAAATAAAAAACAATGATAAATTTTAGACGCTGCATAAAATAAAAGAAATTTTGAAGAAAAGAGTGCAAGAACATAAAATATTTATACACTCCCTTAAACATTTTCATTTCTCTGCTTTAATGTGTTCTCTTTTGTTCTCTTTCAAAGAGCGAAAAAATGCCCTAGCACTGAAAAATAACGATATCTCTACACAGCAAAGACGGACAAAATGGTCAGAAAGGGAAAATATTTAAAATTGTCACAAAGAGTGGCAGTGTTACAATTTTTCTCAGAAAAATTTAATTTTTTTTTTTAATTTTTTTTCTAGAATTTTTTAAAAATTTTATTTACAAAAAATATTATTCAAATAATTTAACATTCTTATCATTTAATCAATTTTATCAATTTTTTAAAAATTTATTTTCCTCCACACCCATTATTATTCTTTTCAATAACAGCAATTCTAACAGTCAACAATTGACTAACAATTAACATATCTGCAGAATAATCATCTCTTTCTCCAGCCAAATCTGTATTTAACAATTCTGTTGCATAATTTGCATTTTTAAATTCATTATTATTTTTATTTAATTCTTTAAATATACCGTATTATCTCTAATACAAGCCCTGGGCGTTTATTTTTCAATACCCCTCATTGACTGGGCTTCTAATAGGGCATGGGCTTCTATTAGGGCATGGGCGTTTATTTTTCAATATCGAAATTTTATAAAGATAAAAATAAAAGCAACAGAATTTTTCCCTCAAACTAGTAGCGAGGAAATCCCTTATAATCACGCAAATCACTTTTAATGAACTCCTGAATAATCAGATTAAGCTCTCTATCCATCTTTATTAAATCCATTTTTGTAAATATCCGTTTAATTCCAAAATATTCCTCAATATCCCCCTTGCTCTTAAATCCATTTTACAACTTAACCTTCCATATCCCTATTATCCTTTCATTTTAACAGTATCGCACTCTAATCTTCCAATGCTATTCTTCTAGTACACTAACTCTCCTTCTTAAGTGTCTAAATTTCTTAATCTCTCATAATCCTTCTATATCCTCAATAGAAAAATATGGAAGGATTATGAATACCTCTATCGATCGAGGGATCCCTCGATAGATATTGAACTATTATTTGACTATCAACGAATTAATAGGAATAATATTGAACTATTATTCCTATTAATTCGTTAATAGCCAATGATATCCACTCAATCATACAATAAGCTCTATACACAATTCCTTAGATACCTTCTTAAACCCGTATTTATCTCTAAACCCCCAATAATTTCTCCAAATTCTCTTAATTCACATTAAACTCATTTCAAATTCACTTTAAACTGATTCAAATCTCCCGATATTCAATTCAAATCCCTCTGTACTCATTTTCGTAGACTGGAATTTTGTTATAAATACCTTTAGTTAACTATAACACGGGTAATAGAAAAACAGGAAGTCAAAAATTAGATGGGCTTCTATTAGGGCATGGGCTTCTATTGGGGCATGGGCCTTTATTCTTCAATACCCCCTATTGAGTGGGCTTCTAATAGGGCATGGGCTTCTATTGGAGATGGGCTTCTATTAGAGACAATACGGTATTTATTTCCCCATTTTCAACACACAAAGGAATTGCACAAAATTGTCTGGCTAGTTATAAGTAGTCTCTAGTTATAAGTAGTATTTTGTTTTTCCTTGTCTGTATTGTGTTAGCTATTTCTTATGCTTTAACAAAAGATTATATGTATAAAGATTGATTGTACAAATTAATTGCAAAAATATGTTATTTTTATTCAACAAGAAGATTCATTAAATAGAAGGAAAGAAAAAATAATTTGCAAAAAAAGCTTTTAACAACCACAATCTTGAAAGAGATTTTAAGCTCTGCCAAAAGGCAAAGCAATTCCAAAATTTGTCCAAGTCGCCACTTTGAAAGGGCCGATTACAATTTATACCTCAAACTTGGGTAATTAAACCGACGAATGCTGCAAAAGCAAAATATACAAGCAAAAAACAATGATAAATTTTAGACGCTGCATAAAATAAAAGAAATTTTGAAGAAAAGATTGGAAGAACACCAAATATTTATACACTCCCTTAAACATTTTCATTTCTCTGCTTTAATGGGTTCTCTTTAGTTTTCTTTCATAAAGCGAAAAAATGCCCACACGCTGAAAAATAACGAAATCTCTACACTGCAAAGACGGACAAAATGGTCAGAAAGGGAAAATATTTAAAATTGTCACAATTCTCGAGCTAATGTATTTTTAAGAATTAGGGATAATGCTTATTGTTGCATAATTATATTTTTAAACTAATTATTCGGCCCTTTTTAGCCAATTTTTTTTTGTTTCGGCTGTAAAAAAGACTGAAGAGATTCTTAGTATTGATAACACCGATGTTGAAGACCACTGAGATTATTATTAATTCATTATGAGTGCACTAAAACCTGGGTCCTAAATACCAATACTATATTCAAACGTACAAATCAAGGATATCTCGAGTCGAAAAAAGATCTGTCTCGGGTCGTGCCACTCAAAAATTCAATCACGAAGCCAGATTTTTCGGAGATCTGGTGATTAATAAGAGTGATTCTTGGGGAATTACAGGGATTAATGTGAAGTTGGATGGATCGGGTTTTCGAAAATTTCTCGGATCAGGTTTCCGGTCGAGAAAAAGTCTGGATTTCAGGTATCGTATTTCGAGTAACCCGACACATCCATTGGCAAATACATCGCTTGCCGTGTCCGAAGCAAGTAATTAACCACAATCCAAATCAGACAATTAAGCCCCGTCCTAAGGACGGAGGCAATTCCAAAATTTTAGCTTCGCCACTTATTAAGGGCAGAGGTATTTAGTACCTTAAGCTTTGGGTAAATAACCAAAGAAGGCGTCAAAGGAAAAATATACAAACAAAAAACAATAATAAATTTTAGATGATGCATAAAATAAAGGAAATTTTACAGAAAAGAGTGATAGAACACCAAATATTTATACACTCCCTTAAACATTTTCATTTCTCTGCCTTAATGGGTACCCTTTAGTTCCCTTTCAAAAAGCGAAAAAATGCCATAGCGCTGAAAAATAACACGATCTCTACACTGTACAGACGGACAAAATGGTCAGAAAGGGAAAATATTTAAAATCGTCGAACAGATTTCAAAATGAATTACAGTATCCTAACTAAATTTTATTTAAATGCCATTGTTGCCAACTAAGTAGGTTTAGCAATGTCGTGCCAGTTTTTAAGAATCTTTTTAGCAATAATTCTCTAAGTTTTCATTTCACCTGTTTAGATTTATTTTTCATTTTCTCCCATAACTACATTTTTAACCAACAAACAACAAAACCAGTCCCCCTTCCCTCTCCCTCTCTTAATGACGCCCCAAATTCTTCGAGTAGTTGGCGTTATTCTCTGTTGTTGTCTCAAATACACACATTCTCTCTTTTTTCCTTCCCACAAATACCTTTCCTCCTCTCCGTTTGTATTTGTATGCTCGCAGCTGTGCTCATTTCGCAAACACGCTTTCGCTGTCGGGGAAAATAGTGGTGAATGTATTAGATAGTAGATGTGTATGTGGAGTTTGGTGAACAAAGCCAAAAATAAAGGAGGAAAATGAAGACTGCCCCGCAGAGCTACACATAACAACCAACACACTCTTTTTAATACTTTTATACTACATATAATGTCTCTCTAACTATTTAATCTCTTCTCTTTTTCTCTCTCTCTCTTCCTCTCATTTCTTTTCTCTCTATCATTCGAGTAGTGTCATTAAGTCTCGTTTTGAAATAAAAGTTAAAACAAAAATTAATAACAAAAACTCTTGCCCGCTCCTCTGATCAAAAGTCTCGATTCTTTTTACTCCTCTCCTCCCTCCCTTTCCTCTTCCCTTCCTCCTCTTCTCATTTTTTTCCTTCAGCTCGGTTAATGTTTTGGTGGCGTGGCGGTTGCTGTCATACTTCTCCACACTCCTCTCCACACTAAACACTTAAATTTTCTCTTATCGGATTGTTTTATTATATTGATGGCTCCTTCTAGTCAATAATACAATCACGTTTTCTAAATCATTTGAACACATTTTTTGCTGTTTTTAACTAAAACCTTCAAAAAATTATTATTTCCACACCATTTCTTATCATTTCTTTAAATATTTCGATACCAATACATTTTAGAGTCTGGTGAGTCGTAGGGGAAGTCTTTTATCTTTTTATCATTTCAAAACCTTTTAAGATGACCTTTTGTGTTATTTTCATCTTTAAATTCTTCTTATCCTTAATTTACCAAATATCACGTCTTGACACCATTTAAAGAGAATCATTGAAGAAACCACCTCCCACAAACTTCAGACTCTAATAGACACTTGCTCCTAGCGATAGGAACGGGCCCATTTCCCGGTTTTTTTGAAGCAACCGGGAAGAAATCAGGAGCGGGAATTCCCGGTTTTCCCCGTCCGAATCCATCCCGGTCAAC